TGTTACGCAATAACTCCGCCATTTATAAACCAATTTTGATGATTTCTTTTTTTGTTGGAAAGAAGGTACCTCAGATGTGGTCCCATTTAAATTTCAAGAAAATATTCCACCTCTAAGGGTAACAAACTAGGGGATGAATGACTTTTGAGGTCGGTTTTTGTAACCGGAGGTTAGGTTATTACGTAATGAATTTGTGAAAATGTTAAGGAACTAGCCGAGATAAGATTTCCAATTATTGCAGAATCAAAGTAGGTGCCTGTGTCAAGTGGGATGCAGTAATAATGGTTGGTATATCGCGTTACAACCTGTCTCCTCTATGAGATAGTTGCCAACTGCTGTCCATGCAACTCGTTTGCATCTCAGACCACGTTTTTTACGAAAATACAGAAACTTAATTTATTAACACGACATAATATCATTACATATGATTAAATAAAGGATATGATATACTAAATATGCTTCAATTTACGAGTATTCCAAAGCAAAGGTTGTACAGATTTTAAGACGTGAATATCATCGTGTCGTATTCTATGATCTAAAAGAGTTCCGAAAAATATACATCAATTATATGCTCTTTGATTTTACTAGCGTTTTGTTAGAATTGAAATCGAGTCAGACTCCGTTTATGTTATCAGTGCAGTCGACAAGCAGACAAGACTACGACATTGCAGATATCATTCGAAAGTGCAATTATTTAAATAATCTTGTTAGAAACGTAAATAAGAGAATTATCAACTTCTATTACTAAGTAGATTCCTTGTTATACCAACGTGTCTAGAGATAAAAGAAAATCGAATATTATAAACGTTATACAACAAACTAGTTGCAGGCATTTGCGTGAAGATTCGATCAACATGTCATTATGTATAGTAGGTTATCTGTAGGTCATTTTCCAACATTCCACTGTGGTGTTTTATAATATATCCGGTCGCCGACTCCGCACACGGTACGCACGTAGTGCGAACGAAGAGTCGTCGCTCCCACGTATACAAAAAACCTGGGTGTCTTCCCATAGCTTCCTGCATAGCCAGTTTCAAAGCAGTTTTCCAATTAGAGTCTAGCCACATCGGGAGTGGTTTGAAAGCCTGTGTTTCACTCGTTATTTCTATATGATATGGTCTCACATCGTGTTGAAACTTGAAAAAAAAACCAAATTATTTTTACATTAAAAAAAAAACAAGAAAAAACACAGCGCCCTGGTTTTTTTTAGAAAAGTAAAATGGAATAACTGAAATAAAATAAGACACTAACTTTTATTTTAAGAATATATATATGTGAATATAAATATATAACATGTTCATGTCATTAAAATTTTCTGTCTGTCTTCGTTTCATTCATTCAAGTCCTACCGAATAATTTTATATAAGCGGCTTGCTAATAATTCTATGTAAATGTTGCTATATAAGGGATATGTGCGATGTGGAAACAAAATGTTGACATCGCTCTTAGATAAATAATTAAGTAGTGTTTTTATCAATAATCATCAAAGTAGCGATGCAACAGCAATCGATAGATTTAAAAAAGGTAAAATGTTAGAATCCCCGCATTTTCCCCACATAGTGTCAATCCCACAAAATGTACAAATGTAGTTGAAATTCCCCGCAATTTAGGGAATTAGCCACAAATTGACAAGACTATGAGTGTTGCCCATTTATTTTGAATAATTTGTCTATGAAGAATAATATCAACAACGAAAGAGGAATGTAGTAAAAAAATACAGTTGTCACATTCTCATGTTTTTATTTTCATGTTTTTAGAAAAATAACGTACTCCAGAATAAAAACTGTTTCTTTTCATGTTTTTTTTTCGTCGTTTTTTTTCACCTCAGAAAAAAAAAACGTTTTTTTTTTAACAACACTAGCTTACACCTCGTGTGGTTAAGGCGCTTTTAAACACGCAACCAAAAAAAAATTACAAATGTTTCCTGGAGAATCGTTGCGGTTTTCATTTATCTTTGGTCAAAATCGTGTCATATTTATCATACTGTATTTAAATAAAATAGAAATATCAGCATATATTATGCTGTGTCGATGTTTTTAGTTGTATAACGCAAAGTTGTATATTATTGTATGTAAGCACTCGTATTTGGTACTGCTCGCTGGGTATTGTTTCCCTATTGAGAGTGGTTGTATGAAATCAATCTACATTGTTTTGTTGTAGTAATGTAGCATGTAATTCGTACCTGCCTTTGTCAAGAATTATAGAAACGTTTTTGAATGTACAAGTCAATTGTAACAAATGAATATTGTCTCAAACCCATTTGAGATTGATATAACTAAACTTATTATTTTTTATTAGAATTAGCTGTAACAAAACTCTTTATATTAGTGATGTAACGATATGAATATGTGCCAATGCGAATAAAACTGTTTTATCACGACTACGCTTTTGCGAATTGTACTTATTGCCTATGTACCTATTGCGTATAGTCTATTAAGAACTTAGATAAGTACATAGGTATAGTAGGTGGGTATATTAGAAAATTTAATGCCAAAGAATGCGACACGTGTTGAATTTAAAAAAAATCTTTTCGTATTAATTTTCCCTGAGTATCTTAAAATATTCACACCGCAAACAAATTGCAACGTAATCACGATTGTACCACTGGATAGTAATCATGTTTCTCGCTGTTCGCACTGTAACTCTGCCTTAATTCTTAAACTTAAGCAGGTTAAACATAGCAGATTCGCAAATTGGTGCTCACGTTGAGCACACATCTTGAACTACTAAAAACATTCTACAGTGTTCTCACAAGTGTGACACATTATATTATATTACTTGCCATCATCACGAGAGAATTATTTATTACATAGGTGCGAAGCCTCTCATTACTTGCACTGAATACAATGAATGTAAAGAATGTGTTTGAGAGGCATTTCGTGCCAAAATACACGAAGCCGTTTGCGTTTACTTCAAGTTCGTGCATCTAAACATTATCACGTCACATGCTTTGTTATGTGGGGAGCTATTTAGTATTAAAATGCTTACATGAATTTTATTTACATTTTAGTTTCATAAATTTAAATAGATAGTCTCTGTTATCAAAGTAGTTAAAGCTATTTGTGTTATTGAATAATAAAAGCAACTATAGATAATTTTCTACAGCGATCCTTTTGAATAATGCCAAAGGCATCGCCAATTTACTCGCTCATTCCGTTGCGAATCATCTGTAAAATCTTTTACTGGATTCCTTATCCTTACACTACGAACAAAAATACCCTGGAGGTAAATTGATTCGTGATATACAAAGCACGAAAGAGCGTGATGCCCAGTATTTGATTCCTGTGAACTATTCTCTGTTTCCATAGTTGTAACAAAACATATCTATTTGTATGTTATATAAACATACCTACTAATATTTAAGGGTAGAAAAATCACATTAATTTGAAACAATGCTGATTTCGTAATGCAAAGCGATTGTAAGTGAATTGGTAATATAATATAATCGAAAAGGCCAAATTGTGTGAGGTGTGTTTTTATTTTATATTCTAGTAACATTCCAAAAATGTGTTCGGCGTTTTGCTGTGCGATCTAGCTAACGCATTCTCGTGTCAATTTAGAAAATGTTAGAGACCTACCATTGTCTTTAAATGGAATTGATGAAGACACCGCCAAGACCGTTTTTGAAGCTCGCCTACACAATTTGAGTTTTTAATAACACCTTACATAGCAACAAATTCACTTTTCTTACAACACAGGAACGTAGTAAGAAACAACTTTGTCGAACTATTCAACGTAGAAGTACAACAGAAAAGAAAACTCCTTTGAAAACAACAACACAACAAAACAATCCTATTTAAATTTTTTAATACATAATATGAAAAATATTCATCTAGTCAAAACAATCCGTTGGGACACGAAATTGTGTTTAATCTTTGGGTTATTTTAAGCACTAAGTTCTTTGGCTCTTTTATGTATATGTTTGGTCGTTGAAATATAGCATTGGCATTAGGTTTTTTTTAAATATCTGCTTATTAGTTAATATTAAACATTAAAGAAAGTATACGTAAAGAAATATTTAAAATTTTCTAACTCCCAATGATAAAAAATGAATCGATAAAGTTTTGGTAAGCATCTAACATCAAAACACAAAACATCTTTTAAAAAACCGGTAGGTATAAGTAAAAGGCGTGTTTACACAATATGGCATAATGTGACACCGGTATGTTTTGTAATCGGCGTCGTCTATCGTAAATCAGAATAGTGCAGGTGTAATTTTGAAACCCACTACTTTCTATTCAAATGTCCAAAAGTGTTACGGCGAAAGTATTATCGCATGCGACAAACCGTCTCTGTATATGCGAGATTTTAACCAGTTTTCACTTTTCTTTCTGCTTTTTTATATTATAATTCATCATCAGCACTTCGTGCTTGACATTTTGTTTATGTAAAAGCTATTATTCAATTTACTACTTGTTACATATTTGTACTTTCTTATTTCAAAAGTCCTGCACTGAGTAGAATAAAAAGTATGTTTTTAATTTTTAATTTATTTCAAATTCACAAATTCTATCAGATAAATAGTTAGCAAGACAATAAAACTCTTGGGGGGTTTATGATGTGTGACGACTGACAAGTGAAAATTAAGCAGTTACATGCAGTCTTCACGAAGTACTAAACGATCGTATAAGTAGAAATGTCTACCTACAAATAACCCCATTTATTGTAACGACGGGAGGATGTGACGTAGCTATATAGTCGCAAGGACTCAGTGTATAACCATGTATCCTGGCTGTGTCATAGGTAAACACTTTACTTTGAATGTTGTGTTGTTCAAATACCACCAATTTGTATCAACTTCCGTCGACATAGTGACGAATCGTTCGGCTAAGCTAGCAAATTAGATAATTATGCAACGGTTAGCGCTGTCGTTAGCGACATGTGTTTCAAGCTCGTTTTAAAAAACGCTCTAATTGTGAATGTGGCATAATCTAAATTGCATTCGTAATAAATAGCTTATTAAAGCGTAAATAATACAAACCCCGTTTCTTTGGTTCCAGAGCCGGCCGTAGAAGGCGGAACCCGCTGGCCCTGTACACTGAAGATGACGGTCACGATCTCAGTGATTTGGGTATTGGCACCTCCAGCACTAAGAGTAGCCTCAGTGAGGATTGCGACACGCACAGTCTGGCGGTAGGTATCCCCAAATAAGTGTACCACATATTCAACCCAAACCATGATTATTTTTCTGGTCGAATGATTTCATTACATTCGAAACTGAATATAATGCTAATGCGAATGTATTTAGTTAGTAAATGTAATTGTTCTCAAAAGCTTATGCGAATTTTCGTTACATCACTAAGCGATCTTCTGTCACTATTCCTGTTATTATTATTTCTAAACATCTACCCTTCATTCTCGCTAGTGGCTGTTGAAAAGCCTTAAACTGGACATGTGTGATTGTACTCATGGTGCTGTAAAATGAGCAAATTTTATGATCAGGCTTTTCACATAATTTATTCATGTTTTTTCTATTTTCAGAGCGACGGTATCGACCTGGATAAAAATCATTCAGACGTCGACATCCTATCAAATTGCGACACCAACCGCAAACTAGGCTCTAGTGCCAACGAATACGACACTTGCACGACCACGACTATAAGCTCTCCCGAACCTGAGGAGTATACATACGAAGGCGCCATAGAGGGTTACAAATCCAGGATCATATCACAGACCAACAGTAACATAGTCAAGACTGTTGTGAATAACAATTTTAAAGAGAAATCACCTGACAAAATAAATGGAGATCTTAATAAAATCAGAACTACTGTAAGCAACAAAATCGAGGAAAAAGTTTCGTCTTTCCAGAATGACAGAGCAAATGACGCCAAAAATAATAATCCGAGAAAGGACTTACCCAAAGTGGATATTCATAAGCGCAGGGAGCAATTCGAAAGAGAAAATTCACAAGAGTCCCAAACAAACAAACCGAAAAAACCTGAAATTGCAAACAAAAAGTCGATCAAAGAAAGGTTGTCATCTTTGGAAAAGTTCACGGAAGAAACACAAATTCAGAAATCTACTAGTGACCTGACAAAATTCCCTACAGAGGTAAAACCTTTGAAAGAACGTCTATCTTCACTCGAAAAAATTAAATCAGGATCTACGGAAACTGAAAAAGTTAAAAGGCTTTCTAATGGAGACCTAAGTAACACGAAATCCCTAAAAGACCGCCTCACCAGTCTCAAATCACAAACTTCCGAAGAAGAAATAAAACTGACTAAGACAGAAGTTAAAGAAGTATCAATGAGCTTGAAACAACGACTCTCTTCTCTCGACGCAGCCAGGCACAGGGAAATTCCAAAAATATCTGTGGAAGAAGAAATCGCGAAGTGCGAGAAAAATGATTCAAAACTAAATGAATCTAAAGAAAATGAGGGTTCTTTGAAGACGAGCTTGTCGGGCATTGAAAGTCAGATGCAAAATTTCTGTCGTTCTCTTGATAGTTTGGATATTAATGGACAGACCTCTCCCAATTCCTTTGAAAGGGTTCAAAGTTTGGAAGATTTTGATTGCGCGGAATTGCAAAATAATACTATTTCAAGTGATATCGAAACTGAAGACAGCGGCATTCATACGGCCAGAGACTCTGCCCCTGCAGACGACATTGCAGACCTCACCCAAGTGGCTTCACCTTTAGGAGAACCCATGGTAGAAATCTCCGAATACGAGTCTTCTAATGAGGATGGAGTTACATCCATCGAACCCACCAGGACTGAAGAACCAGTTGAAATAATATCTGAACCAATGCCTAAGGTTCAAGATATCATTATTGAAGAAGTAGAGGAACAAGACAGTAAAACTGAGAATACTGATAGCGGCAGTAATTATTTGCAAGCCGTGTCGCAACCTGAGGAACTAACTGTTACTGAAGATATAACAGAAATTCAAATGGACAAAGAAGACGAAGACACGCTTAAGAGTTTGGACAATCAAGACTCTAGTGTAAGTTTGAATGAACCTGTATCGACTGCGTCGGAAGGCGACACAGTGGTGTTTGAAGGAAAGATGACAATACATGTGAATTTAAATGAAATTTGCAACAATATCAACGCTGGTGCTGGGAACACTCCTAATTCTACCAATATTAATCCTACTAATGTTTCTACTAACTGCAAGAGCATGCCAATGGTAACTGTTTCTAATATTACTACTACTACTAACATTTCACCAAAGAACTCCATTAAAACGCTAAAAACATCTACAGAAAATAATACTTTGCCTACTAATAAAGTTGCTGATGTGACATGTACCGTAAATTGCTCGTTAAAAGGGCCAGTTGTAGAGAATCGCCATTTACATAACCATGTCCCATCTAGCAACCATAATTTGACTAATAATTTGGTGGTAAACCAAGACACCAATTTTAGTACTGAAATTGCAGCTAACAAGGTAGACCCCCCGGTAAGTAGCTCTCAAGATACTAATCCATTTTGGCAGAATAGAGTAAGGCATCGTGTAGAACCCAACAGACGTAAAACAATTCTTTTCATTAATAACAGACCAAAGCATGTAGATAAACCGAATACAAGTGCCAAAGATTTGGACTAAGTGCACTACCGGGAAACATTGATTTAACCTGTTAAGATACAATCCATTCAATTTCTCATAAATTGCTATCTGTAATTGCAAGATGGATGAGAAATTTTGACATGGAATTCGCAAAAATATGATCTCTTGATCTCACCTTTTAATTACCAGTTTTCCTACTGAAATCTAAACACGTACCATGCAGTTGCATCTGCTCATGCGTCTATTCACCCTTGAATGTTAATTATCATTGTCATTACTAATATAAGTACTTACTACATGTGTAAAATTCATTTTAGCTTCATTTAAATCTATAAAACCGTTCATCTAGTGTATATATCCACAAAAACGTGTGCTAAACCAAATTTAATCAAATTTAAACAGTAATCCTAGCACTAAGCGATCGCAATACAATACTTATGAAGATATTATCACTAGTCGTGTTTATTATAGTATATATACACACACATCGATTTTGTTATATTTCATATACAGGGCTAATTGTAGTGTCAACCCATATGAGACCTCATTGTATAAATATTACTATTACTATATTATACTTTCTAACTAATTAGATATTACTACAAGTTTCTGCAATAGACGTTAGATTATACCATTATACCCCATACTACTCCTTAGCATTCATCATTAGATTAATTTATCCTTAAACGTGATATTTGTAAAATCATTATATCAAAATATATGTTACAATGTTATGTATGGGTTTTTTTGTATACGTATTTTACCTATTATAACCAAATTCATACCATCGTTATGATACCCCGTGTATATTTACAATATGGAATCTAGAATAGCACGTTTAATCTTAATTGTTATCTATACCACGTCATTCCGATTACCTTACTCAAACAAAGATAGATAAAGTTACTTCGCGATCTTGCTCGATTTGTCTACAAAATGCTAGTAATAATCGTTGGTTCTACAAGTGTAGGTCTTAAGATTTACGATGTCATAAATTCCAGAAAAGAAATTTTCACCATTGGTTCTTTCATGTTTCATAAATTAGAGTTAATTGCATCAGCAGCTTTTGGTGATGGGTTAATGTAAGGTAAGACATAATAGAATAATGTAGTTAATACGCTTCTTAACCTTCAATGCGCTGCATGCTTTTGCTATCTCATTATATTTGACTTGGAATTACAGTGCATTGCGTTTTTCGTCTTCATTTCGAATTTTCTTGTTTAATAACTACTAACCAATTTTCTACATAGTTTTGATATGACTCTGTGGTAGCTTCTTTTGTAATACTGGAAACCTTTTATATAACTTTATGCTAAACATTTTATTTTTTCTTTAGGTTATTGATGCGCTGGAGTTGGCTTTCAAAGAACTTGATTCTGAAGGCACCATTGTGAATAGTAGCGCAATGGAAGCCACTAAAGACAACATAAAGATGAATGAGACAGAAATCAAAGACATACAAGAAGAACCAATTGAGTTAGAGCCAAAAAACATTGTCGCTCCACTTTATGAAAATGTATTCTATCAGAACTCCGCGGATGACGCAGCAGCATTCGCTCTAGATCTGCCTACGAATGTTCTGGAGCCACCTAAAGAGAAACCACCGCCGCCACCCACAGATGACAGTCCAGAAGAAGATGAACTTCTTGGAAATGTAAGTAAAATAAAAATTATTCAGTATTATGAATATCGTTATTACATAATAATTATTTAAGCTAAATTGTACTTGATTTTTCAAACTACTATTGATGTACATTTTTTTTTTTCAGGGAAACTTTAAACATACTAGTTCGGCTCGCCGCATCAAGAAAGAGATCCGGAACAAACGCACGAGTTTCCTCGGCATCGAAGGTCAGGTGGACGACAGCTATCTCGACGTCGACCTCACACTGGTTCCCCGTCCAGACATAACTTCATTTTTGCAAGAGGAAACTAAGATCGAAAGACTGCTATACAAGAAAACTTTGTCTCACGATATGGACACTAAGCTGAGGGAAAGCCGAGACTCTGGTGTGGATGTTGACAGAGGCCCATCAGCTGAAGCATGGTATAGAGGCCAGTCTTCCCCAGAGATATCGAATCCGCACAGCAGACAGAACAGTGAGGTATGTTTCACAATATAATAATAGTAAGCAGATAATATGATTTTATTATGATAGTTATAATAGTTGCGGATAACCTCTTTTCAGTTCTATTATTTTTTTGTCGCTTCATCCATCGTGTTTTACGTTAAATAGTTTTATGGATTCTTTTAAGAGTTTTTGCTACTATTTAATAAATAAGTTGTTTTTATTTTCAGCCGTTTACCCACGTAACGGTGACGTCAGACGAAGAAGAAGCCGCCAAAAAACAAAAAGAACAATCTTTCAATACTAACCTGAACACCAAACTGTCTCACCTGTCGGAAGCGACCTCTGAGCTAGACGAAACTAAAATTGAGACCTTGGATAAAAAACTACAACAACAACAGGTAACGCCTAAATGAATAATTGAAAAAAATATGTATTTATTGCACACTAGTTTTTATATTTCTCATTGTATCCACAGTACTAGATGTATTTTTATTTTTTATGCAAGGTTTATTATTTGGGTTTACATTGGGTTAGTGAGTGATTAATATTTAGTTCGCTTTCGATCGTTTGAGACGTAGGTTACCTACTGTCTTTACATTTCGCTCAAACGAAATGGTGTATACGGAATGTCAGTGCTGGCTGACTATTGTACAATTTGTACAGTTGTCAATATAAACATTTTCAATTTTAACGAAAAGGATCTAGTAAAAGATGAGGGTAGGATACGACTTAGGAGCTTGGTTTTTGTAAATTCTGCACCTACGTGGACATTACATGCACATTTGTGTGTTTGGAAGCACGTTTCGGGTTAACTTTGCAAGATGGTGACAGAATTCCCAAAAACAAACCTCATTAGTCATATATATCCTGCCGGCAGCCTAGCCGCACTTTTGATTAACAAGAATACATACTAACTTATCTAATACAGAAACATTTTTTTTAGAAGTTGTACTTTCATAAAATTTATTTGGTTCACCTTAGGTAAACTTGTCTCGAATGACATAAAGTAGAAAATATTGTGAAGGGTACAACCCTAGAACTGATTCTATTATTTGAGGAGAGGTCTGGTATGGTGCAGTAACATTATCTTTTTCATATTACGCGCTGTACTGATGAGGTGCTTGTATTTGTTTTAGTTTTAATTTCTATGTATAAAATATATATTATGTTTTAAACGTCGCTGTAAGGAAACTGTACGAAAAAATATGAAGAGAATGAATCAAGAAACAAGCGGCATTTAATGCATTCCTTTGTATCGCTGCCTAATTAACAAAAACTGCTTTCTTAATGCTTTAAGGTTGATTATAAAGGTAGACAAGTAAATAACTCACAATTTTCCCAACACTATTACACGTAAATATGTATAAAAATAAATCTATTTACATAAGAGTGATTAGTTCGTTATAGTAGCTATAATTTGTTTCCAAATTATGTTATATACTTCAGTAAATCTTTTAATAAATATTATTTATATTACTATGAATTCCAGCTTTTTATTTTATGCACTTTTGCACCTTCTGTAGTTTACCTTCACTAGTTGCACTTTGCATGGTGTTAAAATTATGTAAGCCTCTAAAGTCATATTTTGACTATATTTACATTTTTTTTTCAGTAAGTGATATTAAAATCTTTTAATTGCTCTTAATAATTTAATACATTTTAAGTATTAGATTAGAGAATGCATCAGCTAATCAATTTCAATAATGCAGGCATTCATAAACTGTACTCAAATGTTCATAATTTTCAAGCAAGATGGAACCATGCTTAATTTTATTATAATATAGTTTTTGTTTACCTTGGTGCACTTTCAGTATTTATTTCAAATCATTTACTTTTGTAAATGATTTCAAATAAATATTGAAATCGTTTTCGACGTGGTTCCATTTTCTCGTGTACCATTATACATTACGTGTGTGTAAATAACAAGATGGCCGCCATCGTAACTTTGCAGGCAAATCGCACTAACGAGGATTGGCCTGATGGGCACTTTGACGATGCTCATACCAAGGTGATTGACACATTTTACACTAAAACTTACGTTCCTCATAGTCAACAGGTTCTAATTACATACCTATTTATTTCTCATAACGCAGCAATTTTCTTATTTGATTACGAAATTTATTCGCAAAACACGCGCTGTAGGTATGTAAAGCGAATTTGTTCTAAACAGTTCTTTCAATCATAATTAATTGTTCTAAAAATTTACACGCTAGCTTAAGCTCTGCACTAAAATGCCATCACTAAAGTTTTAACTTTCATTTACTAACAAAGTTTGACTTAAAATATAACACTATTACATTAAAACACTGACCGCCTATAGGAAGTACTGCGATTTGAGAGAGAGCTCCTACAGTTAGAGCAAGAAGAACTTCGGAGGCAAAGAGAAAACTTACTAAGAGATCAGACGAGGATTATGCAGAAGTCAGTGCAGGATGTGTCAACTGTACTGGGCACTCCTGAAAAGCCACCGTTGCACAGTCGCCCGACAAAGAGCCCCAACTACAGGCACTCTATGCCTAATCTGTTGGTAAACGAAAGCTACACACCAGTAACACCTACCATTCCTGAAAGACCACCCTTCGATGAGAACATGAAGCGAAAACCTTTTGTTTCTGAAGAACACATTCAAAGACACTTCGGCGTAGAAGAAAGTAGGAAAATCCTCTACGAAGAACGATCGAAGGTCCCTGAAGTGAGGAGGCAGGTGCCAAATGTTGTAAGGCCGCCACAGTCCATATTGCCTCCTAAACCACGAAGTCGAGAGTCCATTGAACGAGAAATTACTATGAGGTAAAAATTTAGTAAATTTAGTAATTTAGTAATTTTATTTATTTTTGTACATAAAAATAAATACGTTCAGTTACCGATAACAGGTACAGGAACATATTACACCTTATGGAATACGTACGTTTAAGACATGTACTTTTAAACTTATCTAAACCGGTTACACTGGCTCCTCTCTGGTCTCGTAGGTAACCAATTCTAGAAAGGATGTAAAGTCTGTTCCAATGCATTCCGAACAAACAGCAAACAAGAGTGTTTGGTTAAAATTCTAAAGCAATCACTCAATAAATCGAACAAGCAACACATGCACGTATATTTCGAAGACCTCGACTTGATATCAGCATTGTCTCCAACAATATTCATCCGAACAGCATCGCAAAATAGTATATGAAAAATGGTAGTCCAAAAGTGATGTTATTTTTATCTATACATCCATGACCTATCTGTGGTTGCTTATTAATAATAAATTAAGATTTCGGAAATTTTAAATATCTATCTTCCAAAAAATTGTTACATTTTATTGATTTCAGTATTGGTATATAAAATTGGACGTTTACTATATTTTTATGGTTATTTAGGAGCAGTCGTGTGCCGTCAGCAGTGGAATACGTGAACGTGGATAGAACCACAGTGCAGTTGCGACAGAAACCCGTCCACACAGCTGCGGGTCCTAACGTTAACAACGGGCAATATCATCCTATGACTAGACACACACTACAGGTATTTCATACGAAGTAATTTTAATCTACAAAGCCATTCAGAGTTCTTCAGCTCTAAAAGTAAATGTTTGTTCACGAGCGAACAAAAGCGTACTTAGTCCAAGGAAAGTACTGCCACCTTACTTATTTCTGCCGCCAAGGAGTAAAGTGAGCATTATTGCATTTCGGGTTTGAAGGGTAAGGTGCGGGTAATATTACAGGCACATGAGACTTGTCAACTTATGTCTCAAATTGATTACCGCAGTGGCAGTCGCGATTTTAAGCTCTGAGCGCTACGCCAACTGTTATGGACAGGTGTGTTGCTTACCTTACCACCAGGTGCACGTCTTGTTCGTCGGCCTCAAGTGTTATCTTTTTTATTTTATTTTTTTTATATGAATATTAATGGCTTTATCGTCTCATTTAGCCAATGAAAGGGCTGGGAAAGCAGAATTACAGATTATGGAAGAGGTACGGAATTTGGATGTAAAAGGATTTGGTAGGTTGGGTAGCTGGGTAGCTATTCATATATCGGCATACATATTAAAGCTCGATATTATTATTTTCGATAAATGAGGCCAGTACATTACAAACATTTTAGTTACATAAATACAATAAACTTGTTATGGTGGTGGGGAGTGGGACACTCATAAAAACGTGAATACTTTGTGTCATTCGCAACTTTACTTCAATAATGTGCATAATCTGTATCAGGCATAAAGCTTAAACGAATATATTTATTGTCTATTATTCACTCTTCTTATCGTTCACCTGAAGCACTGTAATATGTCGTAAATACAATAGTATTTAGCCCATCATCGTTTATAACTTCAACTCTGCTCATCAAAACATGGTGTCAGAAGTGCTTCAGGTGAACGACGAGAGGAGTGAGTTATAAACAATAAAGATAATCGTTTGTGCTTTAGGCATGATACAGAATATGTAACAAATAACTTATTTCACGTCTACTTTACTAAAAATATAAACATTCTCTGTATGGTGGGTAAACGATTACTTCTCAATCTACGGTTGAAATCCCTGTTCATCCAAAATCTACCAATGACTTTAATTTCAAGTTTGTACACTTTTATGTGTTTAATCTCTCGCTAACGGTAAAGGAAATCCTTGTGATGAAACTTGTATGTGGAAGAAAGCTCCCCCAGGTTATTTATAATTTATGTATATAATTCTGTGGCTTTTGTGAAAAAGAGTACAAGCCAAAAAAACAAGGAGACGCGAAAACCGGTTAAAGCCTAATATGATATTAAGCGTTAAGTGTTTTTCGCGTTTTCTTGTAAAATTGACTTTTTTGACTTGTATCCCTTTTCACTAGAGTCACTGTACATACCTATATATATTATATATTTGTTTGTACTGACAGGCGTTGAGTGCCGCGCCGACACCCAAGCTCATATCGAACGCGGACTGGATGCAATCACGCAACCGTAAACCAGCCAATTACAACTATAATCAACATTGGCTGATACAGGTAGACGACAACGGCACGCGATTCTAACACACTTTCTTATTTATTAATATGTCATTGGTGAATGCAATGGATATTCTCTATACAATGCACTTAAAATGATAATATAAATGCTTTTTGGTATTATAAATACCAGCGCTTACTCGCACATAAACTTACAAGGTATAAAGGCTAGCAAGTTATAAAAATCATAATTAGATGTCTAAAATGTAAATAAAATGGACATCGAGTATATAACCAGAAATAGATACGAAATGCATTTAATTTGTTTGAAAACTATTCTGCCAAATCATTACGGTGACAACTGCAATCCGATTGGCCAGCCCGAATTCGAACCAATTGACGGGTGTCGACAATTGTTTCACTTAAATCGACCAGTTTAATTTGAACTTTGCTACAATAGACGAAAATTTAAAAATTACATATTGTTTACAGAGAGCGGCACGAAAGACTAGCGCTGACTGTTTTAATTTTATTAATGACTGTTATTATTTGTTTTTGTTAAGTTTCAGTTTATTTGTGATTTTAAACAGTGAATATGCCTAGAAGAACTACTGTTTTGAGACGACAGGCACGTAAAATGGTGTATGACGTGCATTGTTTTTTAAAGAAAGAAACGAATGGATTCATTGATTCTTTAAAAAAAATTAAAAGTCGAATTGACGAAGCTACGAATATGATACTCAATGCTTCGGAAGGCACCACTGTGGATCTAAACCAGATAAAACAATCTGCACAATTTATCAAAACGGAAAATATGCAAATAAGCGTAATTAGTGATTTAGATAAAATCCAAAAAAGAACAGCAGAGGCTACAAAAACGTCAATCGCAACGCAATTTCTACTCAAGCCAATAGTTCCGATTTAATTGCAGTGTTCCGAACTCTGGCAAAAATCGTTCTCGTACAAAACCGGTTACTCATATCGATAATTTCGACCAAGGTGTTATAAAGAGATGTATTCACAATTTTCACGTAACAAACGGCGAACTTCCCACCATTGCAAAGTTAAAAAGTAAACTAGAGCAAGATATTAATTTCCAAGGCTCAGAACGAAGTCTTCGACGAATTATCAAGGATTTGGGCTTCCGGTGGAGAACGACTGAAAACAACCGTAAGGTATTGATACAGACTTCAAATATACGTTAGCTACGAATCGAATATTTACAAAAAATCAAACAATATCGTCAAGAAGGAAGACCGATTGTATATACAAATGAATCCTACGTAGATTCGTCGCACTCTACTCCAAAAACTTGGACCGACGGTACTAATAAGGGCATAAAAAAAACGATTTCAAAAGGTCAACGAGTTGTTATTGTCCACGCAGGATCAGAAACTGGGTTTATAACGAACGCGTTGCTAACTTTGAAAGCCGGTACCCAAACAGGCGACTACCATAACAACATCAACTACGAAAACTACGAGAAATGGATTAGAACACAACTAATGCCTAACCTACCCCTAAATCCGTTGTGGTAGTCGACAACGCTTCGTACCATAATAAACAATGGGATCTCGCACCAACTTCAAACTCGAGAAAAGCGGTCATGCAAGCTTGGCTCACAGAAAAAGGAATTCAGTATGACCCAAAGTTACTAAATCCTCAATTGTATAATTTGATAAAAGCCAACAAGGAAAGATTCAAAACGTTCTGCATAATTCCGAATCCTAGCTGAAGAAAATCACCAAGTGCTAAAACTACCGCCATACCACCCGGACCTGAATCCCATCGAAATGGCATGAGCCGCTATTAAACAATACGTAGCAAGCAAAAATGTCAAATGGAACATTAATAAGTATATAGAGCTTATTAAGGAAAAGGTATCACTAATGAATGACCGGGATTGGGGCAAATTATGCAAAAAGGTGAAAGATATAGAAGAGCAGTATGCTAACAATGACCATGTTGTAGACATGCTTACAGAGGAATTTGTTATTCGCGTCACTGAAGACGATTCCGAAGATGACATTGATTCCGATGATGACAATGAAGACAACGACCACCGAAGTAGCCCAGAGCCCGGGCCCTCAATGAGCAAAAGGCACTGTACGGGCCCCCCATACGATAATTTAATGGAAGGCGTGATGCCGTTATCAGACTCGGAATAATTTCTTTTTAAATAAAAATTACCAAGCATTTTTTTTCCCAATACTAATTGACCCTGTCATTGACAAAGATTCACTATCTACATTTTTCATTGCCGAAAAGTGCTTCCATAGATTTAATTGCCTCTGTAGTCGAGTGTTTCACGTGATTGCGAATAACAAACATTCATGCATACAAACATTCGAACTTTCGCATTAATTACTGAGATGACGATGTTTTTTAATACTAGCTCATACAAAACAAAGTTAGACATAAAAGGCAAAAAACACTTGCTTTTTTATTTTATTTTTGATATAACTATTGTGTGCGTGGCAGCGCAGCTATCCCCTCTATATTTCGGTCACCGCTAGACTTACGTGCCGCTACCTGTATTTAATTACCGATGAAATGTGATTCCGTTTGTTTTGTAATTAGATATTTTGCCTAATGAGTATCCAAGGATGGATGGCCCTTATTTCGTCTCTATTTCTGGTTATATTTTCAATGAAAATGGATAACCGAGCAAAAAAATATATTTTGAATTGTAGTTTCCTATGTTTGACCATGATAATAAACATTTAGAACTCTTTTCAAGCTGTAATTTGATAAAACTTAGTACAATTCACGTTTTGCTATATATATTTTTACTTAAATTCGTTTAACAATAATTATAATAAAATGCTATGTTGAAGGTCGTAAATTTTATGACACTCGGGAGCCAAAACATTATTGTACAACAAAACAGTTTTGTTTATCATTCGTGCTTTGTTTCTCGTGGGTGGTGGTTGTTAGGGTTTTTGCTTATTGTTAATATTTTGTAATAGATAATTTAAATTGGAGAAAATGAGAACCTCCTCCTTTCCCAATTCCGTTAAACATAAAAGGTTTAGCACACCAGCATTCACACTTTGACAATTACATTTCTTTGTACATTTTAGACATCTAATTATGATTTATACTATAGATGTGGACACACGCGCACGCACATGTTGCAAAATTTTAAACAATTAATTTCTACTACAGACTACATGAATTAGTCAACAATAGCGTCTTCACTATAGAATCAAACCACCAAATATTTTTATACTTATTTTTTCTGAAAACTCAATTTATCACTTTTTAAAGGCAAGCGATAAAGCCGACACTTGATGACTGTATATCACTTAAGTAGTAAGTGCTTACGCAACATTCAAATAAATCTATCCAATTTTTTAACAATTTGCAGGAAGCAGAACAACGACGAATAGAAGAGCAGAGGAACAAGTTGCGGACCAACCAAAGACATTCTTACCATCAAGATATGGCTGCGCCGCCTCTCCATAATATGCAACCTTTGAGCACTAGGTGACTACTTTTTTATTGCATGATTTAAATACATATTATATTGCCACCCTGGTTATTTAACGGATTTATCGGTTTAAACAATTTCTTCAAATTGATTTGGAACCACTAAATGTGAGTAAAATCTGCAGAACAAATTTCACCTCCAGTCTCATAGTGGGATTGTTTTCTTACCTACCAAAGAACTCAGCGTTCTCGTGTCTGAATAGGTTAGTTCCTTTGTACAATTAATCTGCTTACACTGAAGAAGTCTAGATAATTCATCTAGAGAAAAGTCTCAATGTTAAATAAAATTTTAATAAAACTACACCAGCAATCTTAGTGCATATAGGACGGGAGGCGTAATTAGCGTTATTTCTCGAACAAAACTTTCTGCCACTTTTTGAGGGTTGGGAGGGTAGTAGGTACTACAAGCAAACAGGTACACTCAAATGCAAAAATGAATTGTGTCACTATGGTCTCACACGAACAAAAGTCTACAAGACTAGCTTATTTTTACAAATACACAGATAAAACACACACACACGTCTTGTCCGTACACAGAATAGGCTTATAAAAATAAATCGATTCTCATGAATGTACTAGAGACGGAAAGTTATCAACGTGACGGTGTCGATATGTATTACGTACTGGTTAATCACGTATATGAAAAATGTAATTCCACCCTTGGCTAGACTGGATGTAATGAATTTCTTGTTCCGGTTTTGTGTGTAGTGTAACAGTGGTATTGTTTTACTTGTATTTGCTAGAGGAGATTGCCCATTGACTTAGCAATAAATGAATGACAATGAATACAAGCCAAAGTCTAATCCAAAACCCGCGAAAAAAATTCCGTAGTTTATGTCTTTTCGTGGTCAGCGTTGGCAAGCATGGCCGGAGTTAACCTCTACAAACGTAATGACATGTATAGAAATATTAAAAACTAATACATTTAATTTAAACTGTAAAGTCATTGCAGTATTGCTTAATTTTGTTTGCCACAATTTAAAGGCCCAAAAGTTATCTATATTCAGCTTCTACTGGAAATAACAAAATGCACTATATTTAGCTTATAGTGAAAACTACTTGAACACAAGAGTTATGGAGTAGTCTTAATGTGAGTATTAATTAATTTTATAGTATTATGTTGAATTTTATACGAATTCACTTCAAGTAATAAGAGTTGTGCAGATATATAGGTACATACAAATATTGTAAATGTGAAAATAGCTATGTCTCTATGTTGGTAGTTATGACGTGCTGTAAGAAATGTATCGATGATTCGAATTTCTAGATTCCAACTAGAAGTAAACTCAAAGTTTCATAATCTCGAAAACCGATTTGTAACAAAACCGTTATGCTTTCAGGGGATTTTGGTTGCTTATTACAAAGAAAAGATTAAATTAGTTTGTTTTGTAATATTCCTAAAATAACCTAAAAAAATACATTTGGGATTACAAAAATTCGAGCAAACATTACTTCGGGCAAATGTATTTTCGGCCTTCTGATTGATAACTCCAAACAGTAAAACGAATACAATAACATTTTGTTAGTTATTTATTACTAACATTTATAATAATAAAAAGTCATTTTAAAAATAAGATTAACTTTAAATCAACTCTATAGTTTCTTTGTTCTAAATCTAAATCTTTCAATCGCTTATGGTCGGAAATTAAAATTGCCGTAACGTGTCTCTTTCTGTCTTTTGCGCATGTCTTGTGTAGGATAAAGAACAATTAGCTATTTGGTTATTTTTATTGCTTTTGTACTTTATGTGTATTATCTGTATGTACTCGTATATGTAGTTTATTTTTCTTATAGTACGACATGATTTATGATTATGTATTTTAACAATTACAATTTATTTTCATTATTTATAATTTATTACTTTATTATTTAATATACAATAGGACGGAGAAATCTATTTGAATAAACTTCGTTATATAATCTGTAAATAAAAATAGGAGCTAAAAAAGCGCGTCGCTTCTATATAACGAAGAAACAGCGTCCATGAAATACGATAATAGGGAATTTCATAGGCATGCATATGTCAAATGACCAATGTTTTCAAATATTTTTTTATGTAATCAATAAATTGAATCAATGTGATCGTTGTGAAAAAAATGTTATATAATAGACAGTTAGCAATTAATGTAAAAAATAGGCTTATGTATTTGGCTTGGCTAGACTGGATGTAGCAGAGATTTTTTTGCAAGTTGTTTATGTATAGCGCAAGACGACATGTTTCGTGGAGTACTTGACGCGGTGAATTCGATAATGGAAATGAAAAAACATAGATTTGAAAGTAGTGTTTATTGTGCGATAGTTGTTTTGTGTTTGTACCTTGACAGAGGGGATTGCCTCCAGTCCTATATGCTCTAAGTCAGCAATTATGTTTGAAAATTAAAACGTTCTAGCAACTTATTTGCAATTAAGCGTAGTGATAGCGACTGGTGTTCAAAATCAAATCAACAATTTTAAAAAAACGTGTTAACAACACACATATAGGAAAAAGCAACTTTTAAAAATTAACAATGGCTTTCTAAAATAACAATTTTTCTCCTTAGGAAAATGGTTTAAACAAACTGAGGGGTATCTAGCGCGCAAAATCGACAAATGTTGTGACGTATTTTATACGCTTGCAAACTCGGTTTCATATTCGTAATAATATTCGCACAATCTGGATAAATCTGTGCAATCAATTTAAAAAATAAAAATTTTGGTTTGTTCCTACTATTCGTGAAATGCAGCGATAATTTGAATTTGGAATGAGTTGGCATTTTGCGCGACTTTTTGCTTAGGGGATGGAAAAAGTTTCTATAGTTTAAGACTTTTTGCAAATAAACACAAATATGTGATGAAATCATCATTTGACTAAATGAATTACAAGTTACAATTTCTTGTAAAGGGATGTCGCTCTAGACCCTTTCCTCTTATTTTGACTTAAAATTATTTATATTGCTCGACACATTGACCTAATGGCTCAACAGCAAAAAATATGCTAAGTGTCGCCATCATTGCATAGGTACTACTACTATATTATTATATTGAGTGTGCGTTATACGGTCACGCTTCGCGACATTATTTGGAATTAATTATATTTGACAGAAAATGCCTCATTTATATAATGTTACTGGTACGATGGTGTAAAAAAATACACTCTCACTCAAAAATACACTCCATGTTTTAATAAAATTTTGCAACTAATAATTTTAGGATTAATTTGTGATTTAATAAATTTTGCATTCTTAACTCACATTTCAACGTACTCTTCCGCTCTAATGAAAGTTACATTTCCAATGTTATCACTAGCCTGATAACAACCTAACCATTCTCTCGATCTATGATATTTGAAATAAATATTTTAAATGATAAGTGTATACTAATATTAATAACAAAGAGCAACTTTTTTTTGTAATATCAAATAACGAGACGAACAAGTCGTGCGCCTGATGGTAACTACACGCCTGTCGATAACAGTTGCACTGCCACTCGGAGGTTTAAATCGCAAAGATCTGAGGGGCACTGCCACTGCGCCTGTCACCGTGTATGTCAGACGTAAGCTGACAAGTCCCATGTGCCTGTAATTTCACAAAAACACAACTCCCAGAGCTTCTTACTCTCAAGGGAAGTTGCCTAACGAACAAGTAATAGAGTTTAATCAATGTGACGATTTGGAGGCAACTTGCACAGAACTACAGCACAAGCCTCCACTATTTACTTACCTTGTGGTTGTACTACTGAGACTAGAGGTAACTGTCTCCGTGGCCGAACGGTTAACATGCCCGTGGCCGAACTGTCAACATGCACTGCCACGCAGAGGTCCCAGGTTCGATTCCCGGGCCGGGAGAAATAATTGTGTGGCCTACATCTCATGTAATTTGTGGTTGTCTATGTGTGTGTCCATGGCACCCGCGACACAGGGTGTTTCTAGTGCGGTTTTGTTAAGTGTGTGCGTTAAAAAATATATATTCCATTACTCTTTTGTATAACTCAGTATTCATAGTCCAGATCGTAAATCGTGTGTAATGATCTGGTATGGAGGCGTTTACTTTAGGCGTTTTATATAAACATTAGTTTATACTTGTTTTAGAGTTTATTTTTCTATGATTTACTTTATTTCACTTTTCTTTACTTTTTATTTCAGCTAATAATAGCTGCCAAGGGATTAATGTTTATATAACTCATTTATTTATTTGCAGCCAACAACATTTGCCACAAGAGATGAAGCGGACGGTGCGACCCGAGGTGCCACGACCCGAACCTCCCCGTGAAGACAAGCTGCTCAGCGTCAGTGGACGGAGGAAATGCTCACATTGTGGCGAAGAACTTGGTAAGATTTACGCGACGACATTACTTCATCATACTTAGCCAGTGCGTTTGGTTTATTCCAAGCGGTTCGGTACGCACATAAATGTGGCATCATGTTAAAATTCTTTGTTGAAAATTGTATACATTAAATAATGTGCATTTACGTAGGTTCTTAGCATTCATTCGATGCACACGTTGTGGCTTTTAAACACGTTTGTGGTATTTATTTTAATTCACCCAGTGTTTCTTGATTTGACTTCGAATGGAGCTATTGCATTGTGTATTTGTGCACAGGTCGAGGTGCAGCCATGATAATCGAGTCGCTATCACTTTGCTATCACGTGTGGTGCTTCACGTGTGCCGTGTGCGGCACACGGCTAGGCGACGGCCGCGCGGGCGCCGATGTGCGCGTGCGTGGAAACCGCCTCCACTGCCACCAGTGCTATTCCGGCGACGATGGCAGGAAATACTCTTGCGTCTAAAACCACTCCTTAGAGGGGACCATACATGAGTTGATACAGTACTATGTAAAACTCCTCGCTGTGTGCACGTTGCCTTGTCTTGTACACGCGAACATCAAATCTGCGAACAAGATTTTCATCAGCATAAATGTTACGTGCCAATAAATAAATGTTCGACCACATGTACATAGTCAGGAGTTACCAAATTGATTGGATTGCTCATTTTAGGCGGAAATAAATCCCATAAAGTTGCGTATACTAGGTACCACAAAGTTGTGGTTAGCAAATACAGCATCTATTTTTACATGACATGTTTCTTTTATAAATCTTCTGGCCTTTGGAAATATCGTTTTAAAATAGTTCAAAAAAAATGTTTTTTTTTAAGTATGCGATCGTAACGCAGTTCGTCAGATCATCCAGCATCGCAGTGACTGCAAACGAACTGCTTTTAGCCCAACGATTGTATATTTTCTATGAATAAATGAACTGCATCAATATTAAGTGTGGATTTTGTGTGATACAAAATATTATAAAGTTTATTTTATCGGCTTGTGACTCACCCACGGATAGTCCTTATTTGTGCGAGCCGTTATTGCCATTACCGTGATAGGAATCTAACACGCCTTCTGTCAATTAGTATATGCATGTCGTCAAAACGTCACAGCGACTCAGCGAGATTCTGAGTCGGCTATTGCACGCTTTTGTTTACATCACCTAAAAAGTACATGAAATGCACGGAGTACCCAACTACGAGTAGCACTATTTTTTGATGATTTTATAAGCTTAGCTATAGAATGCACTTGCACTTACGCGTATGCGTCTGCAGTACGATCGTCGATTCCATTTCATTTTTGTGCCATGTCATGACGTTATTTACCTAATAAAGAATGAGAGTACATTTACCAGACGTACCAGACAAATAATTTGTCAATATAACCTTTTACTTTCTTAATTTGTACCTATTTTAAGTTTTTAGGACTTTGTTCTGAAATTACATATAATTGGTAACAAGTCTTCTGTGTCTAGAAGTGTACTTCTTATAATATTAAAATGTAACATTTTGTAAATAATTCTTAATTTATGATTTTAGTGTGTGTTAAAGTTTAGCTTTAATAGTGAATAGTTTTCAATACTGTAGTTTATAATACAAAACATTTAATCCAAAAATGTGTACGAAGATTATGTTATCGTCAAAGTATTTCTTACAATCTTAACATCCCTTACTTATTTTCTATATGGGCACCTTATTTAAGAAGTTTAATATTTTAAAGGCCCTAATTATGACCAGAGCAGTAACTTTGTAGCTCCTACACCAGAGCAGTAACTTTGTAGCACCTACATAGGGGAGGAAAGCTGCACCTAGATGTGGTACGCGTGGAGTTGATTACATTAGTAACAGATATTTCTTTTGTGATTCATGTGGCACTATGCACTATCATTATTGTAATTAGTTATTGAATGTGTACATTATCTATGTTGATAAGTCGAACTGTATAACAATAAATATTACGAATATTGAATTACCTACCTCTTTGTTTTGAATTTCTTCTAAGAAAAGATGAGCTCCTCGCCTTTTTTTGCTGAAAAGAAAAGCACCCAATTTCTTTTTTTCACGTGAGTTTGTGTAAAGTCGAAATTTGGAAAATACTCGACGGCTGTGCAAATTTTAACCTCGATCTCATATTGTCGGTCTGAACTTTACTAGGTCTCTCGGGACCGCATCGCGCATATATTCCAACGTGTTTTGTATGGAATTCCAATAGTTAATTAATTAAATGTATTTATGCATAAATTATGGAAAGAAAGCCATAACCCAGTGATAATTGCAGTCTCTTAACAAAAGTTTAAGCATTTCATTCACTTTGCGACTTCGTTTAACTCGTATTCCATTGTCGTCTATGTAAGACGGACACGATTAGCCTGGCGACTTTTTAAAGTTAACAACTTGCATACCAAGTCACACTCCCCTTCATTTGCCGAAGACAAAATAAGCCTGATTTCCATTTGTCTGACGTGTCGTGTCGTGACGCGTCAGAACGGTACCTATATAAAACCGATACCGACAGAAATGTAAATCCGGCTTACTACTTTCGAACTCACGTACTATTAAGTAAAAAATTTGATTTAAGTTGTGATATCACTTGAGGCTGTTGTAATCTGGCATGAATATTTTTTCAACTTTTAATACTGGTAAAGTAGAGTTACTGTGAGTAATTAAATCTATAATTTAAAACGAATAGGTCGCGACCATCTAGGTTTAAAGTACGTGTTTGCACATTTAAAAAGTATTTACGCATTTTGATTTAAACTGGCACAGTGCCGCATGCCGGTGGGGCAGGCCTCATCCGTAACGCAAGACCACTGACCCTCGCGTTCTGCTTGATTTGCCCCCATAGTGCGACGCAGTAAATAATAACCTACTGCCTTCTTAAAATAACTATCGAGGCAACTTAACGTGAATTGAGTATAGCCGGATCGGAAGTCGCCAGTGACAGTGATGTCTCCTTCAACTATCCAGTCAACTGACATTACAACTAGTGTGACCTTACGAGGGGAATTACAAACAATAGATAAATTGCACTGTTTCCCACGCTCTCATATAATCTAGCTAATTTTAATTCTATGACAAACCTAATATTGTAACTTGCATTGAGTGAGATATTTAAAGATTAGTTATGAGACTTAAATTTTACAGCAGTTTTAGAACTTTATTTTTCTCTAAATATAAATAAAGACGGCCTCTGTGGTCAAGCGGCTTACACACCAATTTTCATAGTGTCGTCATCTCTGAGCTTCCATGTTTGATCCCCGGTCGTGTCAATGTAGAAAAACTAAATTTTCTGTATTGTATCGGGTCTGGGTGTTTGTGGTACCGTTGTTGTTTGCGATTTCTATAACAGAAGTGCTTTAGTTACTTTAGGATCGGAGCAACGTACATTGTCTATATTTTGTTTTATTTATTTTATTTCAATGTGACAAAAAGTGACAGCCCTGTAAGAAGCACGCGACTTGAAAGGATGCGGTTTCAAGTTAATTCTCCGCACTAGATTATTCATATCCTTACTTGATATAAGTAGGTGTAGGTAAGTGAATAGCTTGCGTAGTTTTAAATGCTGCTACCGTGGCCGAATGGTTACCATGCTGGTCTGCCACGCAGAGGTCCCGGGTTCGATTCCCAGGCCGGGAGAAATATTTTTATGGCCTACATTTGTTTCTCTCGTGATTTTGGGTGTAATTTGTGGTGTCCATGGCGTCCGCGATGCAGGGTTTCCCTACTGCGGTGTTATGACTGCGTCCTTTATTTATATTTATTTTATTTTGTAGGGTATTTTATTATCATGTCCGTATAACAAAGATAGTTGCTTGGGCCGTGGGAACATGGATGACTTATAAATATCTTTTAGTTCAGCCACAAATTGTATTTGTGAGTTATAATTTGGTCCAACATAGTGAAATATGTACTCTCAGGACAAACGTTTCGGTTTTTTTAAATACGAAATTCATCAGAATCTCTCTTTTTTATAATACCAAGTGAAGGGATGAGCAAGTCGTGCGCCTGGTAGTAAGCCACATACCTGCCTATAACAGTTTCAGTGTTACTCAGAACTTGAAATCATAAAATAATGTGACCATTACTGCGGTAGAAATAGGTATGGTGGCAGTACTTCCCTGGACGAGTTCTTTCACAAGGAGCTCTACTGCTGGTTTCAATTTATCTCTCCCATAAAGACAGGGTAAGTGGTGGCGCAATGCATTTTAATTCACCTACTGCGCTGAATTTATTATATTTTTAATATTTAGAGGAATTCATCAAAACCTCACTGCAAAGATGAGACATGTCGTGGCGCGGTGTGCTCGGCAGTAACCACAGAATATCAAATAGCGCGAACCATTACACATAAGTATCAACTCAGTAAAATAAATTTACACTTGAAAACGTCATTAAGCTACTTCTCATTCACAGTACGGACTTTCCTGAGACTAATGAGAGTTTCTTCTTGTTCTTTTCAAATGAACTTATATTTTATGGAATACGCTTTGATCCAGATTTGTGTGGAATCTAGAGGCATGTAGTCTTTAACTAACACGTAAACTTCAATTTTGTAATGTATCTTTTAAATCCAAATTTCAATTATTTTTAATGTAGGTTTTAAAGTTACTAAATGATAATATATGCTCCGGAAGCAGAATCGAAGTCAGAACAAAAGTTGCAAACAAAATTACTTTTCACCTCACTAGCTCGGAAAGGCTTTCTTTCTCATTAGAAAGAAATCTGCGCGCAAAAGAGCGTTTTTTTCATACTAGTGTGGAAAAGGTTTTCGAAATTCGAACTTGACGATTGACTGTGGTGCTCCTATCTTTTTCTTTCGATGAAAAAAAAAAAAACAACGACACGTTCAACTACGCGATTTGTCTTATACATTATTTAGGTAATATAAATCCGTTGGTATAATTTATCCTTATTATTATCGACTTTGAATTGACAACGATGACTAATTTTGTTTATTAAATTGTTTTAAACTGATTTGTTCAACTGTTTTCCTTTCATCTACTTACCATTTTCCGTTAATTATCCAGTAAGTACCTGACGTAGTGAATAAGGGACCCTATTATTTGTATATCAAAAATGCCATTTAAAGCGTGAGAACCAGCAAATTACTGAGATTCTCGCCTGTTCTTTGACAGAGTTTTAAGCAATTATTTTATATGTTAAGTATATTATATGTATTGCAGAATAAAATATTTTTTAATTTAATTTGTAGTAAATTGTAAAATCAAGATTTATTAAAACTTGACCTGTCTGTATGCAAAACATCTTTAGTTTTTCGATTCTTTACTCCAATTACTAGGTATTCATAACAGGTAACATATTTATTTATTTATTTAAACACTTTATTGTACCACAAAGTAACTTACAAATTTTCAGAAACAATTTAAATATTTGTGTACAAAGGCGAGCTTATCCCATAAAGAGATTTCTTCCAACTAACCTTTATATATCATATCATATTATATTATAACAATTGAATCAACTTTTACGTAGATTATTTACTTGTAGTTTCTCTACTTGTACGCGTATTAATAAAGACAACCACACGAGTAAATGAATTTAAAAACAATTAAACATTTTTTGCAGTTGTTTTCACAAACAATCACAGTTCACAAGTTCGACTCGCATTTTCAAACGGCTCCTTATAGGGAGGATAATACAACAGTACTAATAAACAATAAACAAACAACAATATTAATACAATGACACTGTGTGTGTATTGGAGCATCTACGAAATTTTTTTATGATATCAAGAGACGGGACAAACAAGTCGTGCTTCTGGTGGTAAGCGATACATCTGTCCATAGTAGTTGCAAAGCCACTCAGAGCTTTCAATCGCAAAGATCTGAGAGATACTGCCACTACGCCCGTCACCCTGAAGTTTATGTTGACAAGTCCGATGTGCCTGCAATTTCGCTAGCACCCTTCAAAACTGGAACGCAGTAAACTATTGCTTGGTGGCAGAAATAAGGTACTGCACTGGACGAACTCTTTAACAGGGACATCTACTGCTACTAAATATCTTCTAGATTTATTAAAATCGCTTCTTCGCTATGATAACTTAAACAGCGCATTTAAAAATCGCAATTTTATGAACTTTGTTCAAGAATTTGCATTAATCACTCGATTCTGAATTGACCGGTTTCCATGGAGTTATTGTTCGACGATTCCCATGCCCTTGTTCTGTCCCCAACTACAAATCGATTGGTTCTCCGCTTATTCACGGACGGAAATCACTGCCATTTTTATTATTCTCCACTCTAGCGCAAATCCGGTACCTACTCCAAAGCATCATCGCAAAATTACCTCAGTCATTATGGGATTATGAACAAGTATATAAGTTACATAGTCAAAAAAATACTGGTAATCTTAAGAAGACATATGACACAAAATAATGATTATTAATTTGCAACATTCGGTTAATATGAAGAAGTAGAACTTTTTCAAAACTCCAAAAATTTTAATATTAATTCAATGTCAGTAATAGGTAAATTTTCGTTTTATCTAGCTTAGTACAAATTGGTCACAGCTAAAGGTTTACAACACATATTACATTTTAAGACTCGTTACTCACTTAAAGATTTGTTATTAGTGGTAATTCACTAATTACAAATTTCTTACGAATTATCGGGAAAACAATAAGAAATCATGGTTACAGATCATCTATAAAAATTTAAAATTATTTTATTTATTTAGATTTAGAATTATTTGTTGATAATTGTTTATGGCGCCCATTAATAACATCGCGGTCAAATTTGTAGTTTAAAAAAATCTGTGGGTGCGTGTACATCTTTGATTGGCCCGGCAAGTAGTGGCCGGAGTATAGCAATATAAACAAATCCTTTTTGGTATTCAAAAGTACGACGTATTCACTTTTCATTATGAATGATATAAGTAGGTACCTAGGGGATATACACATAGCACTTAGTCGATAGCAGACTGGGTATGAAAATGAGACAATAGCGAAGGCAAACCATCCGCGGTTTACAAATTCACTGGCTAAATATTTTGAGACTTCAGTTCCTACGCACTGTAGGGCTAGCATGATGGGACGCGGCTTGCGCTAGAGCGACATAAAACGCGAGTTCTCTATGCGATAATAGCGATTTCTCGCACTTTATGTCGCTTTCGCTCAAGTCGCGCCATGTCGTGCTAGCCCTACTGGTACTTAATGGGATCTATGCACTCAAAGAACAATCAAATCATTTTGAAAAGCGTTTGCAAATACATATCTCGAGATACAATACACATATATATTGGGTGCACACATGCAAGTGCCTGACGCAATCCATTGTTACTACTCATAAACCAAGTAGGAACCTACCTAGACACGTCGCAACGTATTAAAATTGTGAAATTTGCGGCTTTGATCGGTCATACCATTTCCCCAAAAACCTTATACTACCTTCGATATTTACTTGTTTGTAAGTAAAAGACTAGGTACATTAAAATGTAGCTAAGTACGACAATACAGCAACGATTTGTAGAGCAGGCGTTTTGTTATCAAGTGAACAGTCAGCTTTATCAAAGGTGAGCGGGATTCGTCTCCGCTGCCGTCACAATTACTGTACAATAGTCTGACCGGCATTCAGTTTCGCGCCGCCGTCCGCATGCCCACGACGCGTAGTCTATTTTCCTCGCGGTGGTTCCGCCGTACACGCCGATCACCAACCTCAGAAGAGCTAGATGACGTCCGATCCAGAACTACTCCAAGGGGCGAAATGGACCGGCGACCCCGCGTTGCTCGTGTCCTCAGCTCCCCTGCCCGCACTGATCACCAAATCAACCCTACAATTGATGAAGAGTCTCTTGAAAGAGCATTTCCGTCCATGGGACACCTGGAATATGTTCTTGCCGGGTCCTCACCTCCGGCCGAAAGTGCACCAAACATGTACGACAGCTTCGAAGAACCGCCTTTGGATCTAACTGCGCACATATGCGCTGATTCATTGCGTCAAAGCGCCCATGAACAGATGCGAGCTGTTGGTGGAAGATTACGGCTATTGGATGAATTGGAATCTGGAGTAATCACTGTTGAAACGGCGCAAACCACTTTTTCATCGGCTACAGAAGCAGAAAAAAATGTTTGTTTGTTTTGGTCAGCTTTTTTGAAGCTTGCTAACCTCTTGCAACCCCTAATTGAAGCAGGCGCCGATATTTTGTATTATGATGCGCTTGGTTTATCGCCGTTGCACGTGGCAGCATTTAGCGGATCAACAGAATGTGCAAATTACCTACTATCGTGCGGAGCGGATCCTAATTATATGCCGCGATGTTTCGTGCCGCTTCATTGTGCAGCATTCGGAAATTCAGTACAAGTCGCAAAGTTGTTAATCAATCGTGGAGCTTCTGTACATGCTGCTGTGAAATACGTTAATTGTGAAGGTGGCTTGCTCCACTGTGCAGTAAGAGCGAATTCCGTTGAATGTCTTAAACTCTTTATATCACATGGTGTCGATGTTAACCTAATAGAACCCGGAGGCACTAACGCCATTCACCTTGCAGCTGATTTGGGAATGACTCAGTGTCTCACTATACTTCTTGAAACTCCAGGAGCTGATCCAAACGTTAGAACAAGAGTTGGAGACAGGGAGTCCACGGCACTACACTTGGCAGCCGATGGTGGATTTGTCGAATGTGTAGATTTGCTTTTAATAAAAGGTGCCGACGCTAGTTTCAAAAACCACAGAGGTTTCACAGCTTTACATTTAGCTGCACGTTCAGCAAGTTTGGAATGCGTTGAATCATTATTGAGAAAAGGCAACGCCGATCCAAACGCATTGGACTTTGACATGAGAACACCCTTACACGCAGCTATTGGGAAATCAGACAGCGCGTGCGATATTATAGAGACATTAATAAGCTGGGGTGCCAATGTAAATCAGAAAGATGAGTACGGCTTTACACCGCTGCATTTGGCTGCACTGGACGGCTTGTCCGCATGTGTAGAGACATTAATCTATCACGGTGCTGACGTAACGACACGATCTAAAAAAGGAAACTCCGCTCTTAATGTAATTGCTCGAAAGACACCAGCCTCATTAGCTATGGTAACAAGAAAACTCGATTGTGCTATTACACTACATCATTCACAGTCTAGCAATAGAGAAGTTGAACTTGAACTTGACTTTCGTAGTATATTGCAGCATTGCTATCCACGTGAAATAAGTTATCTCAACACTTTTGTAGACGAAGGACAGAAGGAAGTGCTTTTACATCCCTTGTGTTCTGCATTCCTCTATATAAAATGGGAGAAAATAAGAAAATATTATGTGGCGAGATTATTTCTCAGTTTCATATTTGTCTTGTGCCTCACGCTGTACGTGTTAACTGCACTTGCACATAATTGTTATAACGGAAGCAAAGATATGGAAGAAACCATTCAAGAACAAGAATTATGCCAAAAGCAGTCAATACTTGGAGATTTGTTGCGAAAAAACCCTTTTGTTATCGAAATGCAATGGTGGGTGTTGGCGGGCATTACAATATTCGAAATATTCAGAAAAGTATATGGTATCGCTGGGTATTCAACAATGAAACAATACCTCATGCAATCTGAGAACATAATTGAATGGTTTGTCATTGTAAGCGTATTTCTGATATCTTATATTTATACAAACATCACATATACATGGCAGAACCATGTGGGGGCTTTCGCTGTTTTAGCTGGATGGACCAATTTAATGATGATGATAGGCCAGTTGCCCGTGTTCGGCACATACGTCGCGATGTACCAAAAAGTGCAAAAGGAATTCGCAAAGCTTCTCATGGCATACTCTTGCATACTAATAGGCTTTACCATAAGTTTTTGTGTTATTTTCCCAGACTCTTCTTCATTTGCAAATCCGTTTATGGGTTTTATAACAGTGCTGACGATGATGATCGGCGAGTTAAACCTAGATTTGTTACTGAATGAACCCGATGGCAATGACCCTCCTGTGTTACTAGAGTTCTCCGCACAAGTTACGTATGTTTTGTTCCTTATGTTTGTCACAGTGGTTCTTATGAATTTACTTGTGGGCATTGCTGTTCACGATATTCAAGGCTTGAGAAAAACCGCAGGGTTATCTAAATTAGTCCGTCAAACGAAATTGATATCTTACATGGAGCTGGCGTTATTCAACGGTTATCTTCCGAAGTGTCTTCTTAAAATATTACATTCATCAGCTCTTGTCTCACCGCAAGCTTACAGAGTTGTATTGAGTGTAAAACCCTTGAACCCCAGTGAAAAAAGACTACCGCGCGACATTATGATGGCCGCGTACGATATAGCTAAGATGAGAAAACAATACGGACACACAATATCGTCCAACGGGTCTACTACCGGAGCGTATTCCTGCTTCAAAAAATATGAGAATAACAATGACTCTGGCCACAGAGAGTACGGGTACTCGTCTGGCCTAGGCAGTCTGCAAGCGAGATTAGATGAAACATCAGAGAACGTACGGCAATTGACACAGGAAGTCAGAGAATTAAAGAAGTTAATAAGTGCACAGCAGCTCGTCATCCAGCAAGCTCTGGCCGGTGCGATGGACAACCGTTGATGATATAATGGCCGACCGGGTCATTTAGTTTCAATGCCAACGGTACACAAGTCAATAAACTATAGCGAACGTGCATTGTCGTACATTTATACTCGTTTAGTCCCTATTGTTGATGACGATGGTTACGAACTTAAAATTCAGAGTGGTGATATTTTCGATATATAGCTTGTACATAAGAATGTAAACAGTTATATTTTTAATCAGATTTTTGTAGATTAATGTAGAGTGTAAAATTAAAATAGATTTTTTTTAATTTGGTAACGCAGGTCGTACTGAATCATTGTAATGATAGCAAAAAAACATGTTTGTAGTTTTACTTAGATATTTTTAATTTTGTTGTACAACGTAATAATACTTATTAATAAAATGATTTTGAAAAATATATTACTCATTTCTTTTCTCATGTACTAATCGAAAGTTACGTGAGTCAATTAGCGTAAGTACCTTCTTCACGATAGAGATATAAATGGCGCTCAGCAAAAGGTAGAATAAATAGAAATGCCATGGACGCAACGTGGCAGGCGCGACTACGCTGTGCTATGAAGCGGCGGGGGGCGGTATGCTATATAGGCGCAGGGTTCGAAATAACATGGTTATGAAGTGCATCAGTGAAAACAATTTAGTATACTGTACTTATCTAATGGCTTATTAAACAAAACACCATACTATTTTAAAATTAATCTTTCTTTAAATGGCTTCAATCTGTAAGTAAAGACGAGAAGGTAAGACGAGGGTGACACTGAGAGTTTATAGAGTCACAAAACGTAACCATCTAGGAACTAAACTTCTTCGGTGCCTGAAAATAGCATTCCTTGTACGTGTTCCATATTTTTTTGAAATTAAAAGAAGTTGAGACTTCTTTTAATTTGTGTGAAGACAGAATTGTGTAGCGGGTTTATTTAATATGGTACATACAACGACGGGCATTCTTGTAAAATTCACTCAAAAGATTAGTTCAGCACAACCTTATGTGAATACAAACTCACTTTCAATGTACACAACTTGTGCAATGTAAAAAATAAAATAAAAATACTCATTTGACTGAACAGCTCTAAATAATAATGGGAATTTCTCCAACGCCGCAATTTTCAGTGTTTATACACTAAACTCCAATTATTTATCAAAACAAAAATCTACAAAAGAAGAAAGTACCTACAATATAGGTCGAAAGCTAACTGGAGAGCACAAAATTTTCCTAATAAACCTTTCGGACCAAGTGGAGAAAAGATTCTAAAGGTCTAAAACCTGACAACGATGGCGTGTCCCGAATGCAGAATCCCACACAAAGTGTCATTTTTCTCTAAATTGAAACCGTATATCAATATTAGACTTTAGTTCACGTGTAATATATTAGATGACAGTACTTCTAATCTGAATTTCACAATTATTTTAAATCTAGAATGTAGAAATGATATATGATTTATAGAAAAATATTAAAAAGTTAATTAAATTTTAAAATATGAAATAAAAATACTTATGATGACTTCATAAACAAAAAGAACTCACAGATGTTGAAGACAACACCTAAAATTTTTTGATATCAAATTCAGCGTAGTGTGTAGGCATATTTATTCACTACCATTTAGTAATCGCAGATTCATATTAAGTCTTCACAAAAAAGATAACGTGTCTTTCCAGTCTCATTATTTTTTTGTCATATTTTTGTTTTTTCTACATTTAAATTCCATGTTTCATTTTGATTTCAGAGTCGTAAAATTACAATTAGCTTGACGATATTAGTTATACTATTGAGAGTTTTGTACCATTTAGGGACGGATGTCCATGGGGAATCAATGGGGTAATTTATGTTCGTTCAAAAATACTCCAAATTCATCTAGCGCAGTTTACTGATGCTTATAAACGTTGATACAATGATACAAGATCAATTTTATGGGCTCATACAAATACTCTAGTACAATTCTCTCATTTATGCCAATCCCTAAACTGCCTAAATCTTTTGATAGGTCCCCGACTTGTCAGCCTCTATCAAGCCTTTTAGCCAAGTATTTTCGTCAGCCGTCTCTATCCACCGCGACGAGAATTAAAATTTTGTCGACCAAGCCAGAATTCAACGAATCAGAAGTTGTGATACAGCATGGGGCACTCGTGATGAAATACATTTAACCGAAGCCTTTAATAACTTTGTTACTGACTGAGATCACGAAATAAGTAGATAATAGAAAATCAACGTAAGGGCGCGTTCCCACTATATCGTCACGTTTTATTAACGTTGGACGACTGTCGTGTCTAGCCTGTTCCCATATCACAACTATCTGTCGTGGACGATTTTTTATCGTCGAATGACTGTCGTGAATAGCTGTTCCCACTAGATCGTGACGACAATAGGAGCTGCGACAATCTGTCGTCCCGATTTTATCGTGACGTTTTTTTATCGTCTGACGACTGTCGTTCTAGCTGTTCCCAATTCCCAAAAAGTTTGTCGTTGTAACGATAAAAAATCGTGAATGACAGTTAATCGCGTCGTGCTATATGTATACAAGGCTCGTGGCTTGTATAAACTGTAAACTGCACGACAATCTGTCGTCACGACATAGTGGGAACGCGCCCTAAGTCATTGAATGACAACAAAATTTTTCGCTTGCTTCAATTTTAAAATTTCCCCTATAGTCATTGACCTAAAAGTAAAAAAACCACAAAAAGCAAATGGCATTCTTACAGAATGCTAAAGTAAAAGGTTCTATTTTGGAAATTTTAAATATTTTCCTAATTTAAATCCAATTTTCTAGGAACTTTAATTTTGTGCCATTCTCAAGAGTGGTTTTGTTCAAACAATTTTAAATTGAATTTTTATTCAGTAATATATGTATAAGAAAGCTGTGTAAGATTAAATTTATATTTTAATTATGCTTTTACTTGCACTATTTTGTTTATAGGCTACCTGCTCGTAGCTATTGCGAAACATTAGCATAGATAAAATTATTAAGCTGGGTGAGGTAATACGACCTCATGGTGCAAATTCACATACACTGTTGCACAACCTATTGTGTTGAAATAGTACAATCAAATAATCTTTATATTGTAGTTAAACAAATTATACTTGAAATCGTCATATTGATTTTTAAACTCTATAGCTCATTCGTAAAGGCAGATTCCCTTGGAAAGTATGAGCAAGAAACTGTAGGGGTTGCTCAATGTAAATAAACATTTGTAAACATTTAACCGTTAGTGAAACTTTTTGTTTCAATATAGTTTTAAACCTCGTGAATGCCAAATTTTGAATATTAACCGGATTCTTATTAAAGATACTTGCCCCTTAAATTAATTTGTGACTTTGTGAAGATGACTGTCAAGAACAGCTAGTTTATTTTTCTCTTATGAAAAGATGAGTCGGAGATGACGAAGGAAGAAGGAGGTCAGTCGTCAGTATTGCGTGCTACTGGATAGGCAAAACCTTGACTCTCGTGTAACAAGATTTTCAAAACATTTATAACAAACAAGCAGCGCATTTTTTGCCAATATCAATTTTTGTAAAATTTTATACATATATTAAAACTAATATTTATAATATTTATTGCTACTGTGATCTGTCATGCAATCTGTGCCGCCTAGTGTTGAGTTACTCATAATCGAGGCAAGTCGTTTGTACCACTCGCTTAGTTAGTTTCTCACAACACCTCATGTCATAAAATGTCCCACCTCACACCTCACCTCATGTCACAGCCTCACTCACGTCACACTGCTTCGAATACAACAATTCAACAATGATTGGTCCTACACTGCCCGCTTTTTAGCTGATTTTACATCACGTGATAGTACTAAATAAAATTAGCATTTCTATTATATTATCTATATCATAACATTTCAGTTATCCAATTGATTGATACCATCATGTTATGAAAATGTGCTTAATATTCCCTGTCTGTTGAGTCATTGCCGTAGGTGCAAACATTCTTACCACTACCTCACCTCATTTGAAGAAGGGCATTGGGACATTGTACCGCCTCATTTTTTCAAATGAAGTACTATCCAACACTAGTGCCGCCTATGGATGCCGCCGCAAATGGACACACTAACATGGACCAGAGATGTCTCGTCGACGGGTGATTGCATAGGTAATCAACTAGGTGCCAATATTTGAACCGCGTGTTTATCCAGGTCGCATTGCACTTGTCCAGTAATCTGAATGAAGTGCTTGTAACGGTTGAATCATATTGAACACACAAAGTCAAGAGAATTCGCGCATTGCTATTCAAATTGCCCATGGCCATGAGTCATGGCCACGTGACTAGTTACATTACACTTAGGGGATTTTGTTGAGACTTCCTCGTAAAAATTTTCCTTGATGTTATCCGCACTTCTCATTGTTGGCGCATTTACTGCAAGTAACTTCTCCATACACAATAAAAATAACTTGTTAATCAAGTTACCAATTGCGTTGATAAATAAAATAAAAAGTGCCACTTTGGAAAAGAAAAGTAAAGTAAACGAGAACAGAAAAGTATGCGCTTCTGCACCATTTACCGCCTGGGCATTAAGTATACAATATTATCTTCACAAGCTGGCAGTTTACTGATAAAATAAAGTTAGCTAAAAGACTTTTCGCAATAGTTCTAGTACCTCTAGTGGAGGCAAGTGGATTTTTTTCCACTCTTCCCTACCACATTTTCACTCATTGGTATTACAACTCAAAACAGATAGTTCCCAAACCAAAATACTTTTTTCCATCTTCTAAGAAAATTGTTACAGCGATTTAAAAAACATTTTTCTTGGCTAAACCTGTAGCCTCGAAAAGCCAATAATGGTTTCACGCGAAATAAAAGTGCGATTCCAATTATCAACGTTGTAGATTATAATTTGTCGAATTTTTTGTAAAATTAATATAGCATTACAAACACAAGGTTCTCTTCTAAAATATATTATATATAAATACATACCGATATATAATAAAATATCTCGCGGGCAATATTGTTTTGCAACTCACATTGATACATAGAGTAGAATGGAACGTAAAGTTCCTTCTAAGTAGTCTGTGATTCGCTCTGGACCTTTTGGAGGGAAAAGTGTCGTTTTTATTTTGACTTTCAATTATTTTGTGAAATCTAGTTTAAAGTGGAATAGGATAGTGCTATTGTGCCTTAATCGAAGATTAAAACGCGAAATTATACGAATCTCAAACTAGAATACCCGTATCAGCCCGTTTTATGGAATCCCGAGTCAATCCAAGCACGCCGCCTCAAATTGCCTATCCTCTTTGTGGCGGCCATATTTACAGAAACATAATTTAAACTTCATGTTTAGGCTAATGGCTTTGCCAAAGCCTTAATAAATTAAAAAAAAAAATCTAAGTAGTCTGTGGTTCCTTCCTTCGTTCGCCTTTTGTAGTGTCACGTGTAGATTAATTTCGCGTGCTTGTGTATTTATTAAAAATGTCTGTTGCAAAGAAAAAGAAGCACGTGTCGAAGAAAAATAAGAAGGCTTGGCGTAAATACTGTGACATTACAGATGTAGAAGCGTTCTTGGAAGATCAGCGATTAGAAGAAAGACTGGGGTGAGGTTATGTTATCATGTTAATATTTTAAAATCATTGACTTTGTAAGTCAATGTTTAAAATGGTCAATTTTGTCCACTTCTGGACTTACTGCAAGAAACTATAGCAGTTTTTACCACCGTATTACGCCATAGTGTGTTTTGTATTTCAATGTAGCGGAACCTCACTGAGTCCATGTAAAATCGAAAACATCTAAAATCTTTTATGAGTTTTTCCAAAGGTGTTAAACTCATTTGGTCCCAATTCCAACATATTGCGATTTATTCCACAATTCAAATTATTCACGTAAACATAGTGTAGTGTGACATGTAGAATGATTTCACATAGAACCATATTCATTTAACCAACTCTGAGAATAAAATGTTGGTATGGTATGGTGTAACGGACTGGTGTCCGCTACTCGACGTCCAGGTGCCTATTATGCGTGTGGTGGATCGGGAGGACAGGAAGGACCCTGCACCCAAGTTCCTTCAAGAATCAGCAATCTTGGTACTCCAAAGTAGAGTGAGTGAGATTAAGTAAAATGTTACTTTACAGGAAATTCGACACGAAGCCAGATAGTGAGCTATTCATTTTAGATACAGAGGGTGACAATAAACCTGTAGTTTTTGAAGAAAAACCTCTCTCCGCTAAGCTGAGAAAAAGATCAAAATTGGCAGAGACACCAAAATGTTTTGAAATTTTATTGCCTTCATCTAAGGTAAATTAAACATTTGTACAAATGGTTAATGGTATTGCACAATTTGCAAATTAGTGCCTTGGATTTCACAAAAATTATAGTAAGTTAATTTGCTCACAGAGTACCGTTATCTCAGTGAAAGTTAAATCCTGCAAAATAGCTTTGCTTGTGTTGATTTATTTTTTATCATTGACCTACCAACAAATGGACGTTGAGTCTAATACAAAAACCACAAAAATATGTCCGATGTTAACCTATACAAACATAGTGACACGTAACGAAATATAAAAAACTAAAACGTTTAATTTAAATTGTAACGTCATTGCAGTACTGCCTAATTTTGCTTGCAACAATTTAAGGGCCCAAAAACACCATATTCAGCTTGTACTGGAAATTTAACAAAATGCACCATATTTAGCTGAAAATTACTTGAACACAAGAGTAATGGAGTAGTCTTTATTGTAAATATTAATTAATATATATATATATATATATATTATTATCTCGAATTTCGTACAAATTCACTTAAAGAAATAATAAAGAGTTGGGCAGATACAGACATACAAATATTACTACAAATGTGAAAATAAGCGTGTACTATAAGAAATGTACTGATATTCCAAGTAAACGTAAACTCAAATATCCAATTCCGAAAAAAGTAATTTCGAAAACCGATTTATAATAAAACCGTTACGCTTTCGAGTAATTTTAATGCTTTTCACAAAGACAAAATTAGTTTTTAATTTGTAATCTTTCTAAAAAAATACATTTGGCATTATGAAAAGTTGAGCTAACGTTATTTCGGGCACATGTATTTTCTGACTTCTAATGGGTAGTCCCAAGCAGTAAAACGAGTAAAACAATATTTTGTTAGTTATTACTAACGTTTAATTAAAAATCATTTTAAAAATAAAATTAAAATCAAGGCGACTCTATAGTTTCTTTGTTTTAAATATTTTAATTGCTTGTGGTTCGAACAATTGAAAACGGTCAAGAAGTTTATAAGCTTCTTGAAATTGACACAATGAGTCTCTTTCCATCTTTTGTGCATGCAATGTCTAGAAAAAGAACAGTTAGCTATTTGATTATTTTGTATGCTTTTGTAATTAATATTTACGATTCATTCATATATAAATTAAATACTATGAAACTGTATAAAACAAGATTTTTAAGTGAGAACTATGAAAACACAATATATTTGTTTAGCGAAAATATGATACAAAACCCTGTTTTCACATTTTACTGCAGTAATTTTTACATGTTATTATTATATGGTACTGCATGATTGACAACCGCACTGACAGTTGAACAAACGAAGACTGTTGCGCGATTGACGCTTTGTATGTGATTTTAACGCCCTATAGATGCGGACACCGATGTCCATTTAGTGGTTGGTCAATGCTTTTTATGCAGTTTATTTACCCTTTTAGATAATTTTTTTAAATTATTGCATGATAAATATATTCTACACCATACACCTTTTTTGCACGCTTTAACCTGTCATGCGCCTAGAGACATGATACATTGTCCCTAAAGGTTTTGTTAAAAATTTTTGTAACTTAAAAATGTTACAACTGTTGGATAAAAACACAACATCCTGTGTAAGATATGGTTAGAGGATGCTACAATAAAAAAAAAAAACATTAAGGGCCCCATGTGCATTAAGGACGCATGATCAGTTGACCATCACTGGGTTTATAGAGTAGCAAATTAACTTCCATTTTTAATTATATAGTTTTAATCAAAGTAACACCTGAATCTATTAATTGCCTTAGATTCAATGAATTTTGTTTAAGGTGCAAGATCCTAATGCAAAGCGGAATCATGTGAATCCTGTGGGGGCAAAACCTACAGCTTTAAGTAAAGTAACAGAGAAGCGACGATTTGAGAAAGGAGCGTACCAAAAGAAAATTGAATTAGCACGAAAGAACAGGTGGTTAGCTGTGGAAAAGAACAGAAAAGTTAAACAGTCTAGGCAAAATTTTCACATAGATTTGTGGGGTGAACAAGGTGACTAAACATTTTCTTTATTTTTACTATAACCTAAACCATCATGTAAGCTATTGAATTCATTTTCTTTTTAAATTTACCTCACTATTCCTTTGGACTACTAGAAAATCTGGAACACTCTATGCTTATGTCATTGACTTACTACCCATCCACACATCTTTAAGGAGCAAAGCAGCATTATATGCAAATAGCGTATGTGCAAAAGAGTGGAATACATCTATGTTTCCCAAAAGCTAGAATTTGGGGCTAGCCTGGAGTGAAGAAACGTTTACTTGACCAAGCATATGTGTGTTTGACATAAAAAAAAATTTGGTCATGTAGATAATCTTACATTGGATTGTCTGAAATAAATCAGTATTTGATATTTAATAAAAATGCAATTAAAATTCGTGTCTATCATCGTGTTTATATTTTTCAAAGGTGTACTTGAGCATGACTCAATGCCATTATATTACAAACTATACATTAACAGTACTTATCTAATTCTACGTTGACAGCGCCAGAAACTAAAGGGATCCCTGAAACTCTATGTGATGAATTTGTGTCACCTGAAGCTCAATTACATAATGTGCTTACCGAGCGACGTTTGCGACCAAAACCACCGCCACCCAAAACCGTAACCACACGCGCCGCAATTGAGACTCCACATCCTGGTGTCAGTTACAACCCCTCTTTCAAGGTGAGACTAATTTGAAGTTTGATTTCTTTTTTCAAGGATGGTTATCACTAAAATTAAGTATTTGATTTTACCACATTTTTCTTCTGTATGTAAAATTATATCTAAAATTGTTTATAATTTTAAATCATTAACAAATGTATGCTTTGCCATAGGAACACCAAGAGCTGCTGCAAGAAGTGGTGCAGCATGAGCACAAGATGATGAAGCGTGAGGCACACTTGATGCGCGTCACCAATGGCATGTTCCGCAAAGTAACACAAGCACAAAAAGAGGTTTGTTTACTCTGTACTTAATTAAACACCATAACAACAGGCTGTGTCTTTGTCTGTTTGTTCCTGAAGTAGGAATAGTGTCATAATGGGTATCGCCTTTCACTTGAGAATGGTGGTTCCAAGACCTGGGGTCTTGGAACCTTGCAAATGTGCAAGCAATGCCTAAAAAAGGAGCCAGAGCTGACCCTGTCAATTATAAGCCTATCTCAGATACTTCCACAGTCTGCAAGACTATGGAATGTGTACTGTCAAGTAAATATCATACCTATGCTGTACTGTTAAGTAAATAGCATACCTTCTCCTGTCGTACCTTGAAGACAATGACGCCTACAGTGATTACCAGTATGGATTCCGATGAGGGCAAACTGCCGTGGATCTTTTTGTGTATGCTCCTCACTTATACAGCGAGGCTATAGAATGACATTGCGAAGCACTTGCAGTGTCTTTGGACATTTTGACAGCGTCTGGCATGCAAGCCTTTTAAGCAAACTTCCGTCTCATGGGCTTCCCACCGACCTTTGCAATTGGATCTTAGATTTCTTGAGACATAGGATTCGAGTGGTCTTAGAAGGCAGCTCTTCAGAATATGACGAGTCTGGAGGAACCAGAGAATGTCTAGGTAATCCTCTACTAACTCTCTGGGCTAGACATAGCTTCCAACTTACAGGACAACACACGTGTCCCGTGCATCTCCTTGCCTTAGGCCCTCGTCTAGACCGCTACAAAGACCCGCTAGCTACGCACAAGACAAACGTGCCGGCCACACACCAGAGGAGAAGGAACATTCTCGTCTCTGCAGCTACCACAAGCCCCGGCGAGTCCATACCCACAGTCCGGGTCCGCTTGATACGCCCGTAAAGGTGCGTCACTGGTGGTTTGGCCCGGGCGTCTGCCGACCCTGGTCTTATCGGGGAGACAGGAACTCCCTATCTCCTCTCGGGTCAGTAGATACATTCGCAGTAAGGACATTCACACTGGGACAATTGCTTCAGTTGTACTAAGTAGAAATCCAGTAGTGTATGAAGTACTGCTGCCATCTATGGGATAGTTCTGCTAAATACGAACTGGCCACCTTTGATTCAGTTGAAAAGCTTGCCAAGAGACTTACAGGTGACTCGGAGTTAGTAGGGGTGAAGCAGCTGAGCCTTGAACAACCTCGTAAAGTAGGCAACTTTATCAGTATTCAGTATTCTACTGGATATATCATGGAGAATGTGCAAGGGAATTGCACGATTTAATTCCGACTTCCCCTTTCCATCATCGGGGACCAGACTCGGGTTCCACTAATATATTGTGGATATTCCAAGGATTCGCACGGACCGTTTCGCTTCCACATTTATATGGTGAACGGCTATGGCGTAGAACAGTATAACTTGAGCCTTTTCAAGGTGAGAGTAAATAGACATAATTTAGGTGAGCACCGACACGGCACTTTCTAAGGTGAGATTCTTTATAAGGTGAGATGAAAGTCAAAGGCGTACTTATTTTTTTGTGAAAACAAACAAAATGGGGCGTAACTGATTGTGACCACTGTATTAGACTTTGTGTAATAATTGATGTTAATTATCATTCCGCACCAAACCCTTGTTTAATGGTGTCTGTATCAACAAATTGTTACTTTCCACACATTTAAATTACAGAACCAGTGGCGCGAAGAAATGAGCGTTGGACTACCTCAACCACACAACCCGTGTAAAGATCCGTCGGACTCCGTGTCGGACACTGACAACGTGTACAAAGCTATCAATCCTCCTGTGAAGAATAAGAAGAAAAACCTCAAAACCCGAAGGAAACAACGCGAACAGCTCGAAGAAAAGGAGAGACTAAAAAGGGAGAAAATAAATAAGAAAAAGATTACAGATATTTATAAGTAAGTTTTGTACAAGTTTTAGAAAGACCTAAAATTGTAGTAACATAAGCACATCAAATTAGAATTCTTTTAAACTTTTTTGTTAGTTTAATATTAATTTTTTTTTGTAAAAATATGATATTAAGAAAATAAAATCATAAATTGGAAGAATTATGCCACAGTAACGTTACTACCATATGAGGCCGTTTGAGGTTACAGAAAACTGTGCTGCTTTGCGAATTTCATAAATTGTTCTAAAAGGCTACATGTACTAAGCGAAGCGTCAGTGGTTTAGTTATCGCTTTAGCGAACTTCAGAAAAGTTGTTTCAATGGGTCTGTTTAAAAAATGGTGTGAATGCACTAAACTTTGGAATTAATAAACGTAGGTAGCTTATATCAATGACTGGACTGATTGTTTCTGGAGATTAATAGTGGTTGTGATAGTCCAAGATACCTCTTAAACGACCTGAACGTAGTGGCTGGGTGTGAATGGATGATGATAGCTATATTAGTTCGTAATTTTAGATAGCCTAGCACTTTATGGACGATGTCACTCGATTAACCTAGATATGAATACGAAATTATGCGAAGAACGGGCCGCGAATCAAAGTGCATTTTTTGCTGCTGCAATGCGATTTATTTTTCTTTATAATGATATCTGACTGTCGTTTTATGTACATAATGCTAATATTCGTATCGTCGCATTGCGTGCGTTGGACAAAAACAGATGGATAACACTGAACTGAACGGAATTGAGTCCGCCTTCTATGGGCAGAATTGTTACCATTAGGGTCCACCGCGCTGACCCGCGTCAGAGGTCTTTGAAAAATTTTGAGAACCTTTTAAAACAAACCTTCGAAAAATTCAGAGTTAGATGACCTGCATCAAATAAAGCAAATAAGCTTACTAGTGGATTGGCATTGCTGTCTTTATAGTTTAAAATATGCTAAAAATTTTGCGTGCATGTCATGTTAAAAGTCCCTAAATGTGAGTATATCAACCAATGGTGTCTTGGTTTGTTTGGATCTTGCCGCGTGTGCGTTGTTAATAAGAACTTATGACGCCTTATTTCGCAACTAATTAATAGTTGCAATGCGAAATCTATTTATATAACCATAGCGCTAATATTGTGCTTATGCAATACTTTTATAAAGCGAATTTAAATGAAGTAGATGATAAAATAATGATAGTTTCATTCATTTCTTGCATGAATTGCAGTTATACTAGTCCGTGTAAAGAGTTTTTGTATGCCTTGGCACATTATTTTATAATTCCACTGTACTGCCCATGAACTTCATCTAATTTCGAATTCATATTAAAGCGATTTCAGTAAAGTAAAAGGTCTTCCAATAAGAGGTTCCATTTTGATAAGTAAAAAAAACGAGTATTTTTTAAGCGAAATCATCGGATGTTTATTTAATTGTAAAGATTAGGGTATGCCATTAATAATGGAGAACATTATCAGTCAATTGGCCGCCACGGCTGCGCTGCAGGGCTATATTCTTTTCATGAAATTTTCCATCACCAATTTTCATATTTGCGGCTGTATGTCCTCGATAATTTCACGAATTCCATCTTTGAATTCCGTCTAGAATCGATTGTGGGCCATTGGCATAGACCTTATCTTTCACGTAACTCCAAAGAAAAAAGTCCAAAGGTATTAAATCGCAAGATTTCGTAGGCCAATCGTGATCGCCTCTTCAAGAAATGACACGGTCAGGAAACTTTTCATGCAAAAGAGCGACGGTATCGTTACTTGTGTACGTACTCTGCCGAGTGTCGATTTCTTATAACGACCCAGGTCCATTCAGTTATGGACTTTACATGTATTCAAAAAGTTAAGTGCACCAAATGTACCTACATAATGTATATGCTCATTATGTACGAAAAAATTTGTGTGTGCATTGTGCACGAAATTAAAGATTTGCTATGCTTTTTAATAGTATATAAATATTTTTTGTAGTCTTAAAGCTGAGCGCAGGATTTCCGTAAAAGACAAATGTGATGCGAATAACGTAGCTAAATTCGCGAGCAATTTCGATCGATCGGCATATCAAAACTGCCACATAACCCATTGTTCTGACCATTACTATATTGACTATACAGTTGCCTGAGAGCATCGAGTATATAACCAGAAATAGAGACGAAATAAGGGCCATATATTCCTGGTAACACATTTGCGATACAGCTCTTATAAATATCAACTCCCGTTTGCACTGAAATATAGACAGGCCAACTACAGACCTGTGCATACCTCTCCGTATATTCCAAAAAATATTCTGTATTTATTGTAATAAAGATTATATCTCTAACAATGCCGTGCTGTTCTATTCGGTTGTGTGGGAAAAACAGCAAAACATCTAATTACAAAACAACCGGAATCACATTTCATCGGTATTAAATATTAAATATGTAATTTTGCAATTATCGTCCATTACAGCAAAGCTCAAGTTAACTGGTCGATTTGAAGTGAAACAGTTGACGACACCCATCAATTGTTTCGAACTCGGGCTAGCCAATCGGAGCGCAGTTGTCACAGTAATGATATGGCAGAATAGTTTTCAAACAAATTAAGTGACATTTCGTCTTTATTTCTGGTTGTATACTCGATGCCTGAGAGACTTCGTAAATGCTCTTGTAGGTTTTACTAATTTTCTATAATTTAGTTAACTGTGTACACAAATTCTAGTCAGCATTATCGAAATTTGGCGTTTTTCTTTTTGACATTGTCGTAAATATGCGTGGTTGCGAGTGATTCATTTGAAATCCTGAGAAACTGAACCGAGCCTTAGACAGCATCATATTTATCATTATAACATCATCATGACATAATGCGTATTCCAGGCTCCGTAAAATCCAGTCTTCGATATTGAATAGCGAACAGAAGAAAGAGGAAGTTCACTCTAAGCGGAAACAAAAGAAAACTGTAGAAAAAGCTACTGCTGTGCCCGCATTGAATGCGCATAAGACACCTAAGAAGGAACCTGACTTCGTAGAACCTGAACAGCTAACGGGGGATTTGAGACACGTCTCTGCGAAAAGTAAGATAGACCATTCGTATCATTAGGGTTTTATTTTATAACTATATTTTTAGCGTGGATGTATATAGTGAAATTTCATAGTAAGATTCGATCATGCTTGTACTTCTATGGGTATCACCACACTTACAGACACGGAATCACGTTAAGTGGGTCAGAAAAAAATTTTGGCTCAAGCCCTTTCAGAGTTAATAAGTGTGGTGCCTCTATAATTTATATTAAGTATAATATTATTTCTAAAATCTAGTAAATGAGTACAACAAATCATGAACGTCGTCGAGATTAAAAAGATAAGCCCATTTATAAAGAAAAAAAAAATCGGCTTATTATTTTCTTAGTATGAAGCCTTGAGGTACATGCCAGAAAGGTTTGGTTCCTTTCTGACTATGAAACCGTATTATGTATTACAATGTTCAATTCATGACTAGTAATAGTTTTAATGCTAAAAAATTATTTGCAGCTAACCTCTTACGCGACCGTTACGAGTCCCTTCAAAGGCGTGGAGCGCTCGCCGCTGCCAAGCTCATGATGAAGAAGAAGAAAAATCTCAAGAGCTACTTCAAGCCAGGGCATAAAGTCACTGAGCAGGATATCGAACGCTACATCGCAAAGGCCCGCACAGCGGGTAAGAAATAATCTAATAACAGTACTTTGTGATAATAAAATAGTTAAAGTAATCTTTCGTTTCATTACATAGTTTCATTACGTTCTGTTTCATAGGTATCAATGTATCTTGTTTTTAAAAAAATCAAGTACCTCAAACTCATTATTGAAATATATAGATATTTTGAAAAAGAAATCGTAATTAAACACTGATTAAAGTCTACTACTCATTCGCGAGGCAGACTCCCCTGAAAAAGAATTAGTAAGAAACTTTAGGGGTTGCACTTTGAATATACACGTTAGTAAACATTTGTCATTTACAATATTTATTTCAAATATTATCGACCAAGACTACCTGAAAGAGTTAATCCGGTTATGGATTTGTGTCATCCAAGTATGCAGAAGTTGTCTTTAATATAAAGTTTTTATTCACTAATACTTAAGTACCTCGTAAATTGCAAATTTTGTATATCTACTGGATTTTATAGAAGCGTATATGTTTCTCCTTAAATGAATTTGTGATTTCGTGAAAACAACTGTCAACAGTGTATGGTCTATAACTATTTTTTATAAATGTTTTGTAACGATGTTAATTTATTTAAACTTATCTGTCAAAGATACTCTGGGGCCCAGGTTGTAAAATGCCTTAATCTCACGCTTTTGCAGGACAAAGATTGTATTAATATACAGGGTGGCCGGAATAGTGACGTCCAAAAAAAAAATGTAGGTGCCTCACATTGAGAGGTATCCGAATCACCCCCATGTATGTTCCGCGATTTTTCGTAGTTTTCGAGTTATGAATTTTTTTATGAATTTTTTGAAATTTTTAACCTGATCGAAAAAAAAATTATTTTTTTTCAATTCTTGCAACATTTTTGGGGTTTTTTTTTGTAACCTAATCTTTATGAATTGTACTTTAATGCACAAAATAATCGGCTTCGTAACATCAATGGAAGCTATGAAAGTTTTGACTCAAAGTGGGAATATCGCGTTCGAGCAAGTTGAACTTGAATTTTCAACTTCAAATTAAAAATCTAAACCGGCAATTCCATAGCTCTTGGGTAACTTTAAAAACTGCGCTAGACTCTTAACTTTTGTATGAATACAATATACCATATTACAAATCTAGACAAATCTAGTATAATACATAATAATAATACAATATATACAAATCTAGTACTTAATAGGACTTTATTCGCTGAAATCGCCTTCAAAGGTATTGAGGTCGAAAATTCCTATGAGAGTAATTTTACTAAAAAAAAAATATTATTGCCTATTTTATCTTTCCTAAGACTAATACGCTTTCTACCGTAATTATCCTTAAGAAAGATAAAATAGGCGATATTTTTTTATTTGATTAAAAATAAATTAAATTAAATTGAAAATGTCCAG